GCGACGGCTTAAAGCATATTAATACTCTTACTATATTAATAGTGCGTATTAAGGCAAGAGCTAAGGACATAGATAGGAGAAGTTATAATAACTCCCTAGTCGATATCGCTATATATAGTAACAGCGATTAAAGCACTAATGCAGTTGATCCGGCTGCTAGTGCTATTAGATATATATAATGCGTACCTCGTTTAATAGCGAGGGTGCTGTTAAATAACCTTGCAAATAGGGATAGTTAATCGTTTATAGATAAGCTGTTACGGGCTTAGCAGAGGGACGCCTTTGCTGCTAAACGTATAGATAAGCTTATAAGTAGGCGAAAGACTCGATCTAGTAAGAGTAACAACTAGTCGATCGATAACAAAGGTTATTTGAAGTTTAAGGGCAGATACTATGTCCCTACTAAACATTCGATCCGATAAGAGCTTCTTAAGCGACACTATAATAGTAAGCTTGCCGGTTACTATAGTATAGAGAGGTCGCACGAGCTACTATCGCGTATATACTACTAGCTAAATAGTAAGCGGGATATAAAGGACTACGTAAACACGTATGCCGTATGTTAACGAGTTAAAGTACTAAAGCACTTACTATTTAGCGAGTTGTCTTTACTCCCTATTCTAAAGAAGCTATTTGCTAAGCTTATAATAGATTTTATTACAGGCCTCCCGCCTACTAAGCGTAGGGGCAGTAAGGATGTATATAATGCTATCCTAGTTGTCGTAGATCGGTTTACTAAGGGCGCTCGTTACATTCCTGCCCGAAAGGATTAGACGGCTATTAACCTAGCTAAGTCGTTGTAGAACAACATCTTCTGTAGCTATTAGGGAACCCCTAAGGGGATAGTCTCCGACCGGGGCTCGACATTTATATCTTACTATTAGAGTAAGATTTGCCTATAGCTAAGACTCAAGCATCGCCTGTCTATAGCATTCTATCTATAAACAGATAGTTAGACTAAAAGGCAGAATGCCACCCTGCAGCAGTACCTACGTAGTTATATTAACGAGAACCCTAACGACTAGGTTAACCTCCTATAGCTAGCTAAATTCGTATATAATAACAGTGTCTACTTATTAACTAAGGTGTTACTATATATGGCTATAATAGGCTAGAACGCAGCTATGCTATAAGATCCCCTATCGCTCGAGGCCGAGCGTAAGGAAAGGGAAGCGTATTAAGTACTAACACCTAAGATACTAGCGGCTATTAAGAGGGTTTAAAAGATGCGAGAGATTTACGCTAAGATAGCTAACAAACTAGCAAAGGCCTAGGCCTATTAGAAGGCCTACTATAACAAACACTATATGCTAATAACCTTTAAGCAAGGCGATATAGTTATACTTAGTACGAAGAACCTCCGTATCCGTAAACACCTATCCCCTAATAGCAAGACAAGGCCCAAGCTCGCACTAAGATACATTAGCCTATTCCGTATTCGAGAAGTTAAGGGCTCCTCCGTATAGGCCTATTAGTTGTAGCTTCTACCTTATTATACTATCTATAACACCTTCTACGTATCCCTCCTTAAACTATACTACTAGCGTAAAGGCGATAAAGCGCCTACTAAGTTAGAAGAAGTCTTAGCTAATAGTAAAGAGCTGTAGTCTATAGAACGTATCCTAAAGCATCGGACTAGGCAGGGCAAGAAGGAGTACCTATTAAGATAGCAAGGCTATTTACCTAAATAGGACTTATAGGAGGCTAAAGACTCGTTTAAGGATATAACTAAGTTATTAGATAAATATTAGACTAGCGTAAAGAACACGAAGAAGGCTAAGAGCTTATAATGCCTATAATATTACTACTAAGCCTAGGATTAATGCTACCCCCGGGGTACTATTAGCTAACTAATTAGAGGCAAGCAATTGTCGGCAACAAAGGACAATAAGACTACACTACTATAGTAGATGCGCACCGAGCGTTAACAAACGCGCTATAACTATTAACTAATCGCCTACTCTTTTAAGGAACCTACCTCTTTACTAGCGCACCCTATAAGACCCTCCTTTTAACGCCCCCTCTTATTCCTTCCTTCTATCGAGGCCTCGAGGCCTAGGCGATCGGCGAGGGCGGAGCGTGTGCGCGTAGAATAGTAATAATAATAATAACGACGGCGTCTCGCTTGTACTAAAGGGCGGCACGGCTAGCGCGGCTATATTAGTAACAGTATTGCGGAGTGTGTTATTAGTAGAAGGAGGAGATTAGAAGCGAGGTAAAGTTAGCGCTAAGACGACTAGCGCCGCTATTATTAATATTACTTGCTATTGTCGCTGCGCCTATAGATACAACCTTACCTATACTACGAGCCTAAGGTATCTTTAATCAAAACTTTAATTAAAGCTTTAAGCCTGTTAAAGGTTTAATTAAAACTTTAAGGCCGAGTCAAAACTTTAAGCCGCTTAAAAGATTAAGTAGACTAATAGACTAACTAACTAAGGGTAAAACTATAGAGCTAAGCTAGCCGGGGTCGATCTTACGGACAATAGGTTACTCCTCGATCTATCTAACCCTTTAAGCGAGGCGAACCTCTACTACTACACTTATAATAGCCTTTACCTATAGAAACTAGACGAGCTGTGTTTTTTTAAAAAGATAAGATAAGATTGACACTTAAAGGCTGCTAAACCTAGCTAATTAGGGCTAGCGAAACTACGAACAATAAGAACAATAACCCTCGGAAACGGACAAACCCTTAGAAGCGGATATTGCTAGGTCTTTTAAGAGTAGACGTAAAGAACTCGATACGACATTACTTAGAACAGAGGCAGTGCTGCAATACCTCGTACGTCTACCTGTTATAGCAGGGAAGACGCGCTCGTATTATAATTAGTCGAAGGCCTTTAATTCTTATAGATACATATTACTTTATAGTTTATTATATATAGAGATAGCGCAGTTAGAGTTATACATTATATTGTTAGAGGTAAGGTTTGATATAGTTATATAATTAGGTAGTTAAGTATTTAATTTAGCGCGGGCTAAGCAGCTTATTAGACCTGCTAAGTTAGTAGTAATAGAGGTTGAGACTAGGACAAAGACCGGCTACGAGGGCGCGGCCTTTAGAAGGGAAGCGTGTGTTAGGGCTAAAGAGGCTATATGTAATTAGCATGTAACTAGGCCGAGTAAAGCTAGGGTCTTAATGCCTTAGGCAGGGCTTGGCGCTTGGCGTTAGGCTAACTCTCCTACCTTCCTCCCTCTCCTCCTAGCTCCTTATCGAATACTACTTGTACCTACTACTACCCTATCTACCTGCTAACATACCCTTCTTATACTGTCTTCCCTTCGTTTCTAATTGTTCGCTACTATTTCCGTCCTTAGGCTTACTAAGCCTTATATAAGATGCCGAGGGTCCTATATTTTAGCGGCTCTACTGCCCTATACCGTACCGGTATAGTTATATAGAATATAGAAAGAGAAGAAGAGTGTCTCACTTTGTCGGAAGCCTATGCCTTTATATAGTAGGGACTATATTAAGTAGTATAGCTAGGAGAAATAGAATTATTAATAGTTAAGAATTAAGTTAGAGCTAATACTAGCTAATACCTACTAATACTAAATTCGAAGGTCGTCGATTTATATAAAAGTTTTACGTTCTATAGAACCGACCCGCGCGGTTCTAATAGTATAATTTTTATTAAAATCGGATTAGTATTTATCGAGATATATATAGGATACTCCGTATTCTGTAGCTATCTAGTCTAGGGGCGCCCTAATATAATAGCCTATAGGGTACTAAGTATTAGCCTAATCGGGGGGGGGGGCGATAGTAAGGCTCTAGGGCGTCTAGTAGGTATATCGACTTTTTTTTATACTAGATATATAATTTTCGCTAAGTCTACGAGTTAGTTTCGAGGAGGAGGAGTACTTTATATATTAATCTACTATATATAGTTTTATGCTTAGACGGCGTCTAGGATAGGAGGTAGTAGTACTACTATATCGGAGTTAGGTTTTAACTTTCGAGGAGGAGGAGTACTTTATATATTAATCTACTATATATAGTTTTATACTTAGACGGCGTTTAGAATAGACTGTAACTACTAAGAGGAAATTCTATTATCGAGTTCCTATCTAAGTAACTTAACAGGTTGCTAGACTATTATACTAACTCGCGCGGCTCTAATTCTATAATTTAAGTAAACGTATGTATTTCTTTAATTTTCGAATATATCTAGGTTATATAACGGACTAAGTTGTCCGGTAATAACGGTATAGTTTCTACTAATATTAGCCTAATCTATCCTAATACTCTTATAATATATTGTATACTAGCATTATAAATATATACCTATAACTAGTATATTTACTTTCTATATATACGTTTATATATACTCTTTACTATATATACTATCTTATTATATATATATATATATATATATATATATATATATATAGACTTCGAAAAAAACCCCTTTCCTAAAAAGTAAAAAAAAGGGATCGTAAAATATTTTAAAATTAATATCTTGAACTGTGCTATTATTATAGCGAGGTCCAAAGTATTAAATAGTCTGCCGCCGGAGGATTACAACGCTATATAGTAGCCGGACACCCCTGCTCCCGAAAATTTCAGGCCCTTAATAAAGTGTATAAGGACACTCGTCAAACAGCAAACCAATTCAAATGATTAGATGCCGGGTTGGAATTTAAGTTCGTATATAGAGTGTACACCGTACCTAGGAAATCCGGGGTAGCCTAGGTTAGGGAGGTACTCACCGCCGGCTTTTTTTAAGCAACGCCAAGCCGAAAATTTTCGAACGTGGATAACCTCTGCGCTGCTACTCTTGGAACGCGCCCGCGGTCCACAACACTTCCTAGTTCCTGGACAGGCTCCAGCCTGATAAGTCTGAACTTTTCTCCTTTGCCCCTATTATGTCCGCAATGCCGTGCCGGAAGGGAGTTTCAATGGCATAAAAGTCCACAGCGGCTGCGACAGACAGCAACAATGGAAGTAGCACTCATTATTCAAAAGGATCCATCTCAGACCTGATTTCAGCAGCATGCCTCTCACCGTCGCAGGAAAGCCAGTTGGCGCCATCGGCTATGGATGCATACCATTAACAAATTACTCCACCCCGATCCCAAAAGAACAAGGTTTCGCAGTCCTTAAGGAAGCACTCAAGCATGGTGCCAACTTCTGGAATGGAGGCTGGAACTATGGCACACCGGATTGGAACAGCTTACACTTCTTCAAGGAGTACTTCGAAAAATATCCAGAGGATGCTGACAAAGTCGTCATTTCCATCAAAGCCTGCTTCGATATGCAATCAAATTCTGCGAATGCCGACCGAAAAGGCGTCCACCAGGCCATCGATAAATGCTTGGAAGTAGCGGATGGCAAGTTCAAGATCGATGTTTTTCAAGCCGCTCGTCTGGACCCCAATGTGCCAGTCGAAGAGACGGTCGGAGCTATCGCTGAATACGTCAAAGCTGGCAAGATTGGAGGCATCGGCTTGACTGAATGCAGTCCGGCTAGCATCCGGAAAGCCGCCGCTGTGCATACAATTTCTGCCGTCGAAATGGAAATCTCTTTGTTTGAAACCAGCATATTTACAGATGGTGTTGCGGAAGCTTGCAAGGAATTCAACATCCCTATCGTTGCATACTGCCCACTCGGACGAGGCTTTCTTACCGGACAGATACGGAAACTGGATGATCTTCCTGAGAAGGACCGCCGAAGAATGATGCCTCGATTTCTACCTGAGAACATCGATGCAAATTTGAAGATTGTGGAGGAAGTGGAGCACATTGCTAAGAAGAAAGGCTGCACACCAGGGCAGATCGCGATGGCTTGGGTCATTCGACAAACAGCATCGATCGGTGCGACAGCAATCCCCATTCCAGGAACAAGCAATCCGGCAAGGATCGAGGAGAATGTGAAAGTGGTAGCGCTCACTCCAGATGAGATGAATGAAATCAACGAGGTCCTTAGCAAAGCAGAGGTCAAAGGTGCACGCTATCCAGCGCAATTTGAGAAATGGTTGAAAGTATAGGGAAGGCGAATCGAAATTGTGCTGCCTTGAATTTCATCTATCTACAAGAAAACACGAAACGAACAATTCAACCACATCAACCAGTGACATGCTCCAACTTTCCACCTCTTTACCTGATGTGATACTCGCTTATGCGCGGAACTGCACAGGAGTGCGTTTGACCTTCGAGCTGTTGCTGCTGCTTCCGTAGAGAGCTGGACCTGGGATCTCATAGCTGCTCAAGCTCTGGTAGATGTCGATGAGAATTCCAGCATCATCACTCTTGTAGAGAGCAGTGCCTGCGGTACCCTCTGGAGTGGCGCTGCCACCACCGGAAACTTCGACGTTCAGGCCTGGAGCTACGTTAGAGTGAATTCACCAAGTAAGGTAGGTGGGTGGATCAAGTCTTACACTGTGGGTAGTTCTGTGCACCATTCTCCTGACCTGCGGAGTGCAGGGCAATGATCTCGTGACGGAGGACGTAGTTGCCATCAGCGATGTCCGCAGGAATGGTCACGGTGGAGGTGACGTTATTGGCGAGGAGGTCATCGGAAGCCCAGCTACCTGGAGCAGCGCTTCCATCGTTAAGACCACCAGCGTCGATCTTGAAGAACTTGAGGTTTGCCTTGGTGACGGAGCTGCAGTCACCGCCGCAGCTGGCAAGGTAAGTGATGACCGGTCCATGGTGGCTGTCTGGCCAGGTGTTCCACTGAATGTCGATTGATTTGCCTGCCGTCACTGGGATGGAGCCTTGACCGGGGGTAGCGCCCTTGTGGCAGATGATGTCGGCATCGCCGTACGAGTTTGGCTCGACGAATCCGTTGTCCTGGTTGTTGGCGTACCAGCCTGCCGTTGCTGGCTTAGATGACTGGTAGGTCCATTCTGGTGAAGTACCAGAGTGCCACTCGCCGTTGGAGACAACGCCAGAGACGTAGCCGTGGGCAGAAACGAGGGATGGAGCGGCGACTGCGGCGAGCGCAACAATCTTGCTGTAAGAAGGCATCGTGACTGTACGGTTTGAGTTGCGGAAATATTGCAAGTGGTTGGTTCGTTGTAAAGAATGACGCTGTCACGAATAATGAATGTGAGCACCGGTCGACGGGCTGTGAAGCTGAGTGAAAGACGGGAAGTGAACTCGATGACTGTGATGTGCAAACAATAGAGAGAGGTAGGGACATGAGTCCATATATTTGCCATGTGTACCTGCGAAAACGCTCAGACACTGACATATGCTAGATCTGCCGCATCTTGATGAGGCGTAGAGACGTTGGCGTCAAGTGAGTATCGCTTACAATTGTGGAGCGACTTCTTCCATCGACACACTTCACAGATGCGGAACCGGCTCCCAATTTCCAGCCCTCCCCAAGTCCTGCGAATTGGGCTCGCCGTTTCCTCGTGAGACAGCAATCTTTGAAGGAGCGTGGCTTCGTTGCAAGTACCTTGTTCTGTCCCTTCGAGGTGGGTGGTCTGTATGAAAGTCATTTGGACTGACAGTTTCCAGTCGAATTCCCATGTTTCAGCTTCGGTTCCGAAATGCACCGTCGTCTGAAGGCGGTTGCATGTCCAAATTTCGGACCGGCCAAGACAGCGCATCGAGAATGCTCAATGTATTTGGGGCGATCTTTACGGCATCCGTTGGTCGTGACTAGGATTTTCAAGATGCCAAGATGGACTTGCATCGAGTATATTGGCTCGCTTGTCGGTGCCCACATCTGAGACACCAGAGAGGCCTTGGCAGTGAACTATAGATGCTTTGGTGGACAATGATCGCCAGCAAGGTCGTGGACGACACGTGAGCTGTCATTGGAAAACACGAGGTTCGGGGTGTCGCAGTGTCGCAGTGTGGAAACACAACTTCCAAACGAAGCCAAAGCCCCCAAATGTTGTGGCTTAATCTGACGGCATGATCTCAAAAAGGCTGCAACGCGCGGCCGGCAGGACCGCAGTCTCGGTCAGAACTCGGTATGAGCCATCGTTCAAATTGTGATAAAGCAATTTGCCTGGGCATATGCTCTCCGGGCTGATGCCACGAAGACTTCACTTGTAAAGAGAGTAGCAGCGCTTTTCGACTTCAGGCAAAAGACCGCATTTCGTATGGGTATCCAGGTTTCCTTTGCATGCTCCATAACGCCTCGCTATCCGGGGTTTCGTCACACACTCCACCCCGCTGTTCGCGGGGGTTCCGGCCATACGTAAAATCGCTTTTTCTTAGTAGGCCACACGTAAAACTCGACATAGTGGTAGGTTCCAGTCCCATATAGATATCCAGGTGTATACAGTATTGAACCGCGAGTCGAGGCATCATATTGGCCAGTTTATCCGAGTGTGTGCTACTGTGTGGTGGCTGTAGGACCTCACTGTCGCCATTTCTTATGTAATCCTTAGCAGGCGCGTCCACCTCATTCTAAAGCGTGTAGTCCTCCTGTTTCTTATGTTCCACTGTACGGATCGTATACAAAACTCGGTATAGGGCGTAATAAGGGCAAAAACGTAAAGAGGGTGCGAGCTGAGCGGTTGACCGAGGCGGAGAGGGCAGAAAGGGTGGTGGAGCGCGTCGTTTCGAGGTACCACGAATTGGCAGCTAAATCGGACAAGAAGGTCAGCATTCGAGCGCTCTGTAAGAGTGAGAAAGCAACTCGCCTATATTCTCGCATCTATTGGCGGTTGAGAGGCCGTGGGTCGCTATTCAGCCGTCCATTAACTAACACCAAATTGGACGAGTCTCAAGAGATGGCGCTGGCGGATTATTGTCGAGAGAGGGACGAAATGGGCATGTTCTTGCCGGTGCCGCTGATCACCGTTGTAGCGATGGATATGCTGGTAAGCCTGCTGCTAGAAGGTGTATCGAAGGATACAATACCGCCATTTGGTGTAGACTAGGCGGACCGCTTTCTGAAGCGCCATGGACTTAGCAAGGTTAAGTCTAAACCGATTGAGGTGCAGCGGAAGGAAGCTTACGACCCTTCTGCGATAAGGAGCTAGTTTGACCGGTTTGAGGCGATGATAAGGCGACTAGATGTGAAGCCGCGGAACGTGTGGAATTTCGATAAAACTGGCTTCCGGGTTGGAATTGGTGGCAACGAGTATGTCGTTACAATGGACACGAAGCGGCGCGCCTAGACTGAGTGTGACAGCAACCGTACGCATGTAACTGTCGTCGAGACCGTGAACGCGTTTAGTAAGGTGGTGGACTATCAGTTAATCGTTAAAGGTGTAATGGTCTAAGAACGGTGGGTGCCGAAGGAAGGTGAGTCCATTGCTGCTGCTATTGCCACTTCCGAGTCCGAGTCCGCTTCCGAAGCAACGACACCTGCTAACTACACTCTCGTTATTAGGCAAGGACAACTTCTTGATCACTGTTAACGAGTCTGGATACATAACCGACGACACTGCAATGCATTACATCCGCTGGTTTAAGCGAAAGACGAGGCCTAAACATCCAAACGAGTGGAGGGTGCTATTATGCGACAATTACGGCTCCCATTGCTTTAAGGAGTTTGCAGCCTTTGCAAAGCGGCATAAGATTCAATTATGGGGCCTACAACCGCATACTTCACACTTTATGCAGCCTTTGGATGTAATCCTATTCCAGGCGTATAAGTTAAGGCATAGGCAAGCGGTGTTACAGGCTACACACTATAGCATTGGCGAGTTTGGAATACCCGAGTTTGTAGAGGCGCTCTCAGCTATTCGGGCCAAGACATTCACCTCTCACAATATTAGGTCAGCATTTCGAAAGACAGGCATATTCCCAATCAATAGGGAGGTCCCTTGCAAGCATATTCGAGATCAGTATAGAGCTACTGACCGCAACTGGAACTGGCAAGCAATCGAGAGCGAATTAGTGTAGGAAGAGGCCCGACACGAGGAATCGCTAGCAATAGCGGAAATCGCTTAGTAGGAGCATATCGCGTCGGTTAAGCAACAACGTTCTACAGAGCCCACTATTGTCGATCCAGAAGGCTAGTCTCGCGCCAATAGTCGCCACCACCTTGAGGAACTCGAGAACCTAATTGCTCAAGGCATGCTATCGTCACTACCTTAGCGAACACCGACCCCCGAATTGCCGTAATAGCTCCTACATACTACTACTAGCCCTCGCACGATCAAGGCGTCTCGCATTGCTATACAAGCTCGCAAGGACTTCCGACGCTCTCATCCAAACCCAGTCCCGCAGGGTATATTACTATTATTACTATCATTCCACCTATTTAACCCGTTTTCCTCGTTACCTATAAAAGCAGTAGAAGAGGCGTATAATATATCAGTTGACGCGGCTATCTGCAAAGGTAAGGAATACAAGCGTAAATACCAGTCTACGAGCACTGTCGAACGAGCAAAGAAACGTTAGAAGGAACAGCCTAACCGGCTTATTCGAGCAGGTGCTATCGAGGCTAACGAGTTGCGCTTATAACTCACTTAGCAAGATAAGGATATAGCCACAAATGGATACTAGAAGATTCTCCGTAAGGCAGAGAGTGCTTGTAACAAGGCGCGCACTTATCGATTGAAGTGCAGTGAGGCCTTCCGTATTGTCTTTAACAACAATAGCAAGACTAAGTGGACAGACGTTGAGCTACAGTCTATCGATAAGCCACTACAACGAGTCTTCGACAAGCGCCTTCTTACCTCCGACTCTACATTAAAGAAGACTAGTAATCTATACGCCAACATTGTTAGCTATTACAGGCGAGCTACCGATACGAGTAAGAGCGGCGATATTACCTATAGGTGGAGTCCAACAAGGATATTATCTCTGCCGAGCCGCGCCTGCAACTACGACGAAGGCGACCTGCTAACGTAGACCGACGTTGAGACTAAGCGGCGATTAAATAGCCTATTCGCGCAAGAGCCTAACACCCGACTCGACTAGCTATAACAAGACGAGGCACTGCTTGATGAAGATACTATATACACTATAATTTGGCCTTACTTGGTACATCCTCGCCGGCGCTAGGAGTCGGTGCAGCGGAAGCGCCATTTCTACGAGCCTCCGAAGAAAACTGGTCGCTATCGAGGCGAGGTCGCTGGCAGCAAGAACAACCCTATTAAGCTAGAAGAGTCTCAAGATAGCAGTCAACCATTTAGTCAACAACAACAACAAGAGATGGCAATTATACAATGGACTTATAGACCGACTTGTGAGGTGATTAATCACTTAGTTGACAAGAGGTTTACGCGGAGGCCGATTGCGGGTCCATTTTGACCATCTACGGTCGCAATTTAGTCGCCAATGTAACGGAAATCCACTGCTTCTTAACCCTAACCGCACCCCCATTCGATTTCCCGGTCTATATACTATACAATATACTACTATGTCGAGTTTTACGTGTGGCCTACTAAGAAAAAGCGATTTTACGTATGGCCGGAATCCCCGAGCCCGGGGCGAGGGGTGAAGTGGCTGACGCAACCCCGGATAAGGTAATCATTCCACAATTGATATTCTCCCGCTTCATACTCTTGATGGAGACAGCGGCCGATTGAATCCACCCTGCCGGTTCATGTATTGTCGATATTCGGCCTTCTTGATTTTGTGCACACCATAGTTCTTGTCATTACCAGGAACCTTGGTATTCTTGGTAGTCTTGAAATTGGAGAAGCCCATGATCCTGTTCATTTCCGCGTCTGAGTCTTCATCCTCAACCCCTCCTTCCATGCGCGTGTCGTCCTGTCGAATGGTTCCGTTTCTTGCGCCTTTGATGCCCGCTTTGTTGTCTAGAGACTCCCTGTTCGGCTTCGTATCTGTCCGTCCGCGAGGTGGTCCATCCTTGCCTCGCATAAAATCGCGATCTCGGTCAGAGCGTGGTGGCGGACCAGACCTCAAGAATGGACCTCTTGGTGGTGAGCGGTCTCTTCTTCGGTCATCGCGACGGTCTCGGCGAGGTGGTGAGCGTGAGCGATTTTGCTCTGCGAATCTATTAGCCTGGTCGGAATTCTGCAGTCGGACTGGTCTTTTCGCACCATATCTGGGCTTGTGATTTCTGGTGTCCTCTCGCGGCGGCCTTCGATCGCCAGCTCTTCCAGATCTGTCGCGATCCATTTTGACGGGAAATTTGGACTTGATGTATCGCGCAGAAGTGTCGCATGAGTCCAGGCGCAAGAAGTTAAGTTCACTCGAAATGGATCTCGGCAACTCCGGGTCGGACCGCCGATCCTTCTCGCTTTGGGCGTCACATGTGATTCAAGTCAAGATTTGTGAAGAACGGGAGGACTAGAAATTGCAGTCAAAGAGATATCTTCGCAGGATACATTGGTATACTCAAGCTGCTCCAATGGTACAGGATCGTATCGATCAGTAGCTTGAGCCAGAAGGCTTCCTAAATTTCATCTTCCTCCTCGTCAAAGTCATCCTCTTCGCCCATGTCGTACAAGATACGGCCACCTTCTCCTCCACCCTTTTGAGCATCATAGTAAGGCAAGACTACACCTTCACGATCACGTCTTTGCTTGTCAGTAAGACCAAGCTCGAACGTTGTTCCACTTTTGCCTGCGGCTGCTTCAGCGCCATTCGTGACGTCTTCTGGCGATCGATACTGTGGATGATCTTCGAGCAAAGACACAACCTCCCTCGACTTTCCAGGTTGAAACGTGCTGCTAGTTCTGGAGTTTAGAGGCAGAAAGTACCACTCTCGCACGCCCCTTCCACTCTTCCTCCTGTGCTCCATCTCTAGCACAAGGCCTTCCGCGTTGTTGGCGCCACGACCTTGCAAAATCCCTTCAATTCCTTCATCAAGACCAAAAGATGGTTCCGCATGGCTTCGGTCGCGTGCTGCCTTTCGTGCCAACACGTTATGCAGAGAGTGTACTGTGAAGATGGTCGTGGCCAAGTAGCGGAGCAGAGTCAAAGCGTCAGGCGAATAAGCATCCCGGATATCTTTGGCAACTGGCGAAGGAATGTCTGTGTGGTGTAGTGCAAGCAATGATGTTGTTGGACTTATGAAGGAGGACAGAAGACCAGGCAGATTCGAGCTTTCAGTTGCGCTCAATGCATTGAGACTGTCGAAGACAAGAAGCTTTTCTGGCCTACGGTCAATGATCGCAGAGGACTTACCGAGCTCAGATGACTTACTTTGCGTTGGCTCAGTCTTGAGATGAACGGCGATTTCTTTCTGCCAAGCCGGCAGGCTTTGCTTCCATGCTTCTATGAAGACGGCCACGTTGCCCGGCTTCCTTAGGGTCTCAAATGAGACAAGTATCACCTGGGTATTCGACGTCTTGAAGGACGGGGTTAGCTTATATACGCGGGAGTCCTGACGACGTTGCTTATTCTCTCACATATGCTCGCTTCACGAATTCTGCCAAGAGTGGCTTTCCGGATTGCTCAAGACTGTCGAGCACGAGGGTGAACGGCGAGGAGCCATCGCGTTGGTTGAGTAGCTTTGATACGAGAAGCAAGTTGTGCGTCCGACGATGTTGCAATGAAGAAGGAGCCATGTCTGTTGTGTGGGATTCGCACGGAGTTTGAGGAACATTGGCCGAGGCAAAATGGCACCTGGATCGAAATTTAAACCTGGGCTTGAGGCTTCACGTACAACCCGTAACTATTTAGCATCATATGGCAGACTGAAGTCAGACAGATATCTTGTTTGATTTTGATTTTACTTGCAAATGTCCGCCTCTCGGCCCGATCTCGATGCTACGCCAAACCGCTCACTCTCATGCTGTCGGCTACGTCCACTCATTTCCCATCGCCCTCTACTTCCATCTCCATGCTCTCCTCCTTGGGCGTACCATTCTCGTCTCGTTGACCCCAATCGTTCTCCTTCTGCTGCTCCTTCCACGCATCCCACTTGCCCTCTGCACGTTCCTGTCCAGCTTTCATGGCATCCTCGCGCCATTTCTTCGCCTCCTTTCCATCAACCAAGTCTTGCTGCCAACGTCGCAGTTCCTCTTCAATGTATTGCTTGTAATGCGTCTTGAGTGGGTGCACGTCAATGTTTTGAGCGGGCTCGCCTTCTCTTGGTGCTGGAAGCATGGAGTAGAGCTCTTGCCGAGTCTCGGGCGCAAGAACTTCCCAAGCGCCTTCTTTACGAAGAATCAACTGATACACGCTTAGCAACGAGACAGGCGCTGCCAGGCTGCGCAAGCCAACTCACACTGAGGTCAACCTTGCCGAGCTTGGAGTTTGGCTGGGTGAGCCATCGCTTTTGCTGGGCCATGGTGGAGGAAAGCGATGCCAGTCGGCGCTGTATGATCTAAATGTTGATGAACTGTTTGCTGTTCGTTGTCTCGTGAGTGGAAAGCGCAGTTGTCTTATTGTTTTCCTGCAAGCTCATGCAGCAATTTGGCTGTACTCAAATGAAAGAAAGAGTAATGTTATCCTACCTCAATCAGCCTCCGCCGGTCAATGCCTCGAGCATGTGACGGTGGGAGCGCACATATGCTGAGCATGGACTTGCAAGCTTCTCTTCTGCTACCAAGACGAGTCACTTCGGACGTTGTCTGCGCTCCGTTGATCTATCGATCCAGGTGGGAAAAGGGCGAGGCTGATGAAATTCGATCGTCGCTCGGGAGCGTAGTGCGCGAACACGTCCTTGGTGTTCTGTTGTCCGTTGGATGTGATTGCAGTCTCTCCGCGATGAGGTACCTGGGCCAGGTAAGACTCAATCTATGCCTGCTGCTGCATCGATCCTAACAGTAGGTGAACATGCCCATATTCATTTTCTGTCTGTCTCCGGATGCTTGCTGTTGGATGGTAAGTGCCAAGTGGCATTTAATAAATGAAGGGAGCCTCATCAAGAGAAAAGCCGGCGCGGGAAGCTGGACCTCAACCTCCTCCACACTAGTCCAACGCGCTTGGTTCTGCACATTATTCTTTATTTCAACCACACTCGAGGTCAGCGTGTCCTTCGCTGCGGTATCTTTGGCATAGCTCACCCTCGAACTCATTCCAAGTCCTCGAGATCGTGCCGAACATGATCTACACAACGCAGATTGTCCGGCTGGATGGTATGATATTTCCGGCAAGAGTGCATAGCTGTGCCCTTTTGCTGATCAGAGCAATGCAGGACTCACACTCGTTGCCTCTGTGGACGACCAGCAAGTGCAGGAGCTCAACGAGTTGAAGCAGAACATCAGACAAGTCGTCAAGCGCATAACGCCCAACTCCGAGCCTCGCGCCTCGATCGAGAGCGCAAAGTACACCATCCAGTATGGCAACACTTCCTGACAATCCGCAACGCCCAATGCTAATGCCTCGCACCAGCTACGTATTGAACGATGCCGTTGCATACCTTGCAATTACCGAGCGATCTTATCCCAAAAAGCTTGCCTTGACGTACCTCGAAGACGTCCGAGCAGAATTCCAGACCTCGTACAAGCGAGAAGACATCCACGATCCCCAGTTGCGACCGTATCAATACTCTGAGTTCGATCGCTTCATTGAGCGAACGAAGAAGACATATCAGGACTCTCGAGCAACAGACAACCTGAGTCGACTCAACGATGAGCTCAAAGATGTGACCCAAGTAATGACCAAGAATATTGAGGACCTCTTGTACAGGGGCGACTCTTTGGAGAAGATGGGTGCGTATAAAGGGCCGTGAAAGGAAGAGCCAAAAAAACATACTGATGAAGCACGATCGCAGGAGATATGTCTTCCCGGCTTAGGGACGATTCGCTCAAGTACAAGCGCGCTGCTGTCCGGATTAACTGGGAACTGCTCCTCAAGCAATACGGTCCATTCGCTGGTCTTGGTCTCGTGATTCTCCTTTTACTCATCTGGAGATTCTGGTAATATACTTGTGCTGTCCATGAGCTGGTCTGTTTTCGAGAGCATAGCCTGGCGTTTTCCCAGGAATAGAAAGAAACATTGCATAGTTGCAGGTGTTCGGCATGATACCCAAGAGCATTTGGAGGAGCTCTGATCTGAATACTATTCCAGTCAGCTTTCTCAACCGCTTCCAGCGGGTTTCTTTTTGCGTTCTACAGCGCTTCCGTATATCCCTGTTCTTCATTTGTCTTGGAAAGATAGCTCAAAGGCACATGAGAGAAGGAAAGGATTGATCTCAGAAGACTCCTGGACTTACCTGACCCTATATGGATTGCGGAGTGTCAGGTATTGCTGCTAGAAGCCGCTCTACTGCAAAGGAAGCATCTGGTGGCTTGGGTTCAGACCTTGGAGCCTTGGACTCCATGTATCGCTGGGAGATGAATTGTTCAAAGCATGCTTACGAGTGAGAGCATAGCCCGGCAGCACAAGCTCTCACTTCGCCGGAAGGAGAGACGGCTCGCAATGGCCCGCGCTGGGATCTTCCTCAGACGGTCCCTCCACCGGCACTGTGAGCCCTCCTGCTCGGAGCCCACAATTGCGGACACCGGCCTTCACCGATTACTTGGTACATCTCCTGGCTCCTTTTGGCATTTCTGCTCGTCCAAGTCTTTTTCAATGCTTCCAGAGACTCTCCCTTAGGCGACAGCTGTCCGAAATGCGGAACATGGAGGCGGATATCGCGGGAAAGGCCATAGCGCTCACTGATCGCGATTGATGCTCTCTGTCCCCTGCGCGAGATTTTCGACGCTGCTCTTCCGTTGGCCGCTTGAGTCTTCCTGCGCGGGCAAAGACTCCTTGAAGGTGGATGCTGGAGGTGGTGATCGCGTGATGGTAGCGCAGTTCTCACATTGGGCGTGTCCGCAGCGGTAGCAGTCCGCGTTGCCCGTATTGCAAGTTCCGCACTCGCAGCAAACGTGCATCTTGTCGATCGTCTGGTCTGCAAAGAGATACGTTTGCTGGCGCTTGTGTAGGCGGAGAGAAAGTGCGTGAAGTGTCTGAGCTGTGCACAGTTGAGTGACTGACTTACTGCACAGTGTGTTGACGGGCACAAGACGAGAGCTGCAACGCCGCGGCGTGCCAAGCCAACCACCATTTCCCTCGCAACACCACAACATCAGTACCACTGCTTCTACAGACTATTAAGACATTGGAGGCTGCTCTCCAGGTACGTGCGAACCTCAGCATGTAAATATCTAACCGTGAGACCATTGCTGGGAGATTCTGCTGCTGGGGAGGGGAGGAAGCCAGCAGGTTAGTATTATAAACGCTGAAATTCTTGGCTATTTCGCCTTCGGGCATTTAGTGTAGTCAGATAGTTTAGATAGTTTAGATAGGTTTCTGCTTTGTCGACATGTGCTAACATTTCTTCTGGCAACAGGTCCATCCTCATCGAATCGAATCATAAGGCGCGCAAACCTTCAAAACGCAGTGAATCCTTATCAACAGGTAAAGATGTAGACATTCTGTCGAACTTTTTGCTTTTTTGGTTTCCGCTATGAAGGTGGAAACCTTTTTTATTTGCCGCTTTGATGGACATGACTGCCTGCAATGGACACTACGCTATTTGCTTGCAGCCAATATCGATCGTTGAGAGCCGATATGCTGATGGATATCTAATGGTATGCGTGCCATGTAGGCGACTGGAAGCGGTTTGCGGCTCCGCCTGAAGCTGATTCTGACTCTGACACAGCTCAAGCGGAGCAATCTTTTTGCACACCTACCAACTGTGGCCGCCACAACGCTTCATATGACAAACAGGTCGTTTTCTATGATTGATATGGTCCATAACATCCTCCGCAACGTAGTTTCGAACAATGGAGAACGGGTGGTTGAGGTGTGGCACGGTGTGCTGGCTAGAAAGAGCTGATAAAGCTGTCGCGGTTGGAGCGACGTCTTGGCAGATTTTTGGCACTCAAAGCTATTACGACCAGCCGGCTTCTCAGACTGATGCGGAGTACTCGGAGATGCCCATGAGGTCTACTCAGGGCGAGGCATTAAGGACATTACTTGACACATTCTTGCGGCAAAGAGACAAGAGTCTTGCAGCCTTCAATCTGGCATCTCTCGTTACGCAAGTCCTGCTTCAGAAACCTAACGGACACCTACGATATCAAACCAGGCCATGAGTCCCGGTCAACGCTCCTTAACGAAAGAGAACTTCTGCCCAATGCTGCGACACCTCCACCTCTATCGTCATCTCCTGCTGAGAATGTCAAGAAGCAAATGGTAGTTGGATTGAGAGCGAGGCGACAGCACAATAGAGGCAATACAACCGCTGAATCGATGGAAGGTGAGAAGGACTGAGCAAGCAGGATATTTGCGTCTGATTTCAACGGTCAAGCATGCCGTACGATGTAGGTCACATTTCACAGCCCGTCTCAAAAGCTCACATCTCTTTGCCATTGCCTTCCTCCACGCATTTCAAATCGCCATTTTCAAGCACTCTCACACAACAGCGGCACCGTACCACCAGCGCAACAACCACGATCACCATGACAAGGATTCTCGAAGAAGTGCTACTGGCAGCAGTAGTCGTGGCCTGCGCTGGCTTTTGGTTCTGGGCTCTCTCGGCACCAGACCCATTGCTGGGCCTTGAGCCGCCAGCCGAAGAGGAGGGAGACGAGGATAACGATGACAACGAGTAAGCAAAATGTCTTTCCGCAAACAGGCCTGAGCTGACGCCTCTCGCAGAGCGCGAGACCTAGAGGCTGGAGTGGTGAGGCATCGACGACCTCACCAGGATTGAGAGCTTCTCCGATATAAGAGTAAGTCGATGGACACCATGTCCAATTTATGCGGTTCGGTCGGGGTCAGCATTTCTTGGATGGCGTTGAGCGAGAAACAGTATACTTCTCCGAGATCGGGACGGCTTTCACAATCAGCGTCAACCGCTGGCTACGGAGTTCAACTCCAGGATTTCTTCGACTTGTCACGATACCTGGAAGTGGAACAGCGTGGGCGGTCGTTGATTTCACGTCGGATGGAAACGCTTCTGCGATAAATCCCAGTCGGAGGACATCACGTTGTAATGGCGAGCACATGGGGACTGACCGGGTATTAGGACACCAGTCTGGTGAAGAGCTGGAGCTCTCACCACCAATTCAAACCCTTCGGTAGTAAGTTGCAGACTTTGGACATGATGTTGAATTCACAGGTATCATAACGCTGACAACAAAACAGAGCTCTGACTGAATCTACACGAGTGATTTGATCACACTCTCTCGCTTGGTGACCATTTCCTCCCATTCTGCTTCGACTTCGCTCAACGCGGTGATGGCACCTCCAGCACCGACGCGCCATCTATTTCCCTCATCATCCCACTTGAAAGCAGTTCTAATTACCACCGAGAAGTCACCACCTCCACCTACGTCGATATATCCGAGCACACCACTATACAAGCCACGAGGCTGACCTTTTTCGATTTCTTTCAGGAGCTCGCAAGAACGCTTTTTCGGAGCACCAGTCATAGAACCAGGTGGCAACGATGCTGCGAGAGCACTGACACCAGAGACACCACCTTCCATGTCACCTTCGACCACCGATACGAGTTGGAATACTGTTTCATACTCCTCCACAGACATCAGTCTCGGCACCCGAACTTCTCTGACCCCAGCAACACCGGCCAAATCATGCCGAATCAGGTCAACAATCATCAAGTTCTCAGCTCTTTCTTTCGCAGAACCAAGGGTCTCCTCTGCTTTGGCGCGAGTAACACCTGGGCTCTTCCTCACTGTTCCCTTGATTGGGCGAAATTGGCACTTTCCACCTCGAGACCACGAAAGAAAGCGCTCCGGACTGCTGCCAACGACCGAGAGACCAGGAGCGGAACCAGCTTGTAATCGGAGATACGCGCTAAACGGAGCGGGATTGCGGTGACGGAGCCGTTTGTACATGGTCCAAGAGTCGGCAGATGTTTGGATGATGGACTGATCGGTCAGACACAACTCATACGACTCTCCGGCTCGCAGATTCGATTGGCATTCTGCGACTTTGTTGCAATATTCCTCCCTTTGGGGACCAGCCATGAGTTTTGCGCCGACAGCAGTAGGTATTGATGCAGGTGCTTGAGCATTGTAACCCATACGGCGTTTAAGGTTGCCCTTTATCAGATCGATCCAGCTCTCGTCATCTTCTCGGATGGTTTGGATATACACCGTGCCCTCAACATGATCAATCACGACACTCCGGTCAACGAAAACGAACCACAGATCCGGATGCAATGGATTTGCCCCCGCTGACGAGACATTGATGGACTCCAAGCCTGCTTCATATGAGACAAACCCAATAAAACCGCCCCAGAATGGTGAATTGGGCGCGCCAGTCCCGACTTTATTGGCTTTCATGACCTCATCCACGTACTCGAAGGCTGTTCCGATTGAAGCTTCTCGGCGTGAGACGACCTGGTTCTCAGTAATGACTTCCAAAGACCGACTCGTGGTGGAATATCGAATCTGGTTGGGAAAAGCGTCGGGCAAACCAATGATGCTGAAACGACCAGTCTCGGAATTGACAGGCTTACCGCCACGGCTGCCAGATTCAAGGACAAGTGGTTCCTGGCAGATATCTTCTCTCTTCAGCATCTCCACCATCGTTGCTACATCGTGTGAGCCAAAGGTTCTGAGCGTGACCCAGTTGACCCTGAGATGCGATTGTCCAGGCTGTGTCGTTTCCGCAGAACTATCATCACTCGTGGCATCCAGCTGAGTATCGATCGGCGAAGGTAATCCAGAATCATGGCCCTTCCAGTCGCATACTGCTTGCCACCAATTCTGTATCAATTTCTGGCCGTCCTTGTTCGTACAAACAGACTCGGGATGATACTGCACGCCCCAAAATGGCTTCTGAGCATGTTTGACTCCCATGAGGGTTGGTCCATTGGCAACATTCATCAGACTCCAGGCCAAAGGAATCAATCCTTCGCACTTCTCGGACGGCTTCCAGAGATCCCAGGCACCCCATTCATCTCCCACGCCGGGTCTCTGTAAGTTCACATGGAGTGAGTGATATTGGGTCGCGACTACCTTTCCTGTCTCAGCATAGATGTCCTTCCCGCAGTGTGTGATAATGGCCATAATTCCATGTCTAGGTTCCTTCAAGCGGTCCACCTTGGCACCAAATGCCAGGCAGAGACTCTGGAAGCCGAGACATATTCCAAGTACAGGCAGTACATGCCGGTCAGGCAATGACCAGAGTTTCTCTATGAGTCCGACATCCCGAGCATTGGCCGGGTGACCAGGTCCAGGTCCTGCGACTACCGCGTCAAAGCCATGGAGGTATGTGAAAAATGCCTCGTCGTTGAGGAGGAAGCGAGAGTCATCGATTCGTATGCACTCGACAGTGACTGGTAATGTCGCACGTAGAAGTGCTATGATCGAATTGGAGAAAGAATCGTATGCGTCAACGAAGAGGATGCGGTGATGCGGCATATAGGCTAGTCCTGTTTGGCCCAAAGGAATGGACGCTGTCTCGTTGATGCACGGGGTTGTAAGAGGAAAGACACGAGTACAAAGTGAATGTTGCAGGCGGCAAAAGCGCCATGTGGCAGTGTTGAGATTACCTCAATCTTTCTAGCGAGACGTTCCAGAACAATTGGTGGATCAGACTTGGTCAAAGAATTTCTTCGCCCCCAGTTCCAAGTTCCAAATCGGTCAAAGTCGGGCCGATGCATCCGCAACCCTACGTGAGCACGTCCGACACTCAAGATGCCATCATCTCTTCAATTACTTGTCACTCGCTGGCCTCTTCCAATAGCAGCATTCATCCAATTGCTTGATCTGACAACACGTCCGCCTCTCTTGCCTGTCCAGCTCCGGCCTCTGGAGCATCATCTGCCGAAGGTGGAATTGCAAGTCATCTGTAAAGGCCTCTCGCTCCGGAATGCCTTGGGAGTCTGCGATTCTCAGGAAGAATTTCACCTCTTCTGCTTTGGTCGGCACTCCAATAGTAGAGAGACGGCGACCTGGGAGTCGAGCAACATGCTGTAGGAAGGTGCGTTGGCCATCGAGCGGATTCTCAAGCGTCCAGCCATTCGTCCAACCTCGCCAATTCACAGCTTCGCGGGCTGGCTGTCGCGATTGTTCAGTGTTCCAAAACTCGGCTCCAATCTTCAGGACGAACTCCTTGATGTCGCGCCGTTCGTGGACAATGACGTTGAACAGTCTTCGCCAAGCAGCTGGATTTGTCTGCGAAGTGTACTTGAGTTGTATGCCAGATAATTGGTGCTCTACTTTCTGGTGGTCGTGCAGGAAAGCGAGACAACTTTCGGCACTCTCGAAAGCGAACCCCCTATCGTAAATGTAAGGGATGGTGATCTGGTAGAATTGCTTCGAGGTAATAAGCAGAGCTAGGCAGAAGTTCAGCGATGAGTCGCCTTGCTGCACGCCATGAACGCGAGGTCTGCACCAGCCGTGATAGGTCTGTATTGGAGTTCCGAAGTTGAATCGACTCTTCACTGTGTACTGAGTCTGCGATGTCTCCGGCCTGCCGAACAAGTCGTAAGCTGGTCGATCGACCATCACCATCGTGCTGCCATTCATCCTTCGCGGGCACGGGAAGAGATAGCCCATTATTTTAGATCGCACCTCGAGCACCTCGAATATGCCAACCCGAGGCTTGGCGATGATGCTGATGCATTTCCTTCCAGCGTCAATTCCATCATGAAAAGACTCGTGTAATGCGGTTCGAGGCTCGAACCACGTCGTACGCGATAGGCGTGTCTCGCTCTTCATTCGCAACGCAACAGCGATGGTCGTGCCGGACACGTGCTCGAACGCATCGCCAGCTATCAGGGCATTCCTCAATCCTTCCTCCATCCAGGATACATTCGACAATTCAATGCCCTTCAGTTGGACATTCTGAAAGTCGACCCCATGGAATGTGACGTTCTCCAGCTTCACCCCATCAAATGTGACATTCGAGAAGTGACAGGATCGAAAAGTCACATTCTCGAAACCGCAGTTGCGGGCTGAGAAGGCCTGCATGTCGCAGTCGGCAATTCGGACGTTGGTGAGGATGCATTTTTGATAAGCAATGTCATTCACTGGTCTCTGTTCTTCTATGTCGTCTCCTACGTCATGCGGTGCAGGTGTAGCTGGCGGCGTGGTGACATTTTGTCCTGTTATTCGGTACTCGCAATGGCGACACAGACCCAGTGCCGCCGCGATGGCTCGCAAAGTATCTAGTGGCGTCGACATGTTGGTGCATTTGTTAGGCACATTGCGTAAATTGCAAATTGAAGCTCGTCGCAGGTGGCGGCCGAAGAAGAAGTCCAAGCGATGGTGCACTAGCGTCAGTTTAGCGGCGCTTCCATCCGCATGTGATACTGAGTGAGGGAAGGAGCGATGGCATCACTCCTCAATAGTGGCTATACAAGGCGTCTATTTCTGCAAACTCTCCAACAGCCCATCGCCATCCTTCTTGGTTTGCACAGCCTTGAACATTTCTCCGACAGTATCTAAACCCTTCTCAGCACGCTCAAATGCCTCGTCGCTCCTGTCGGTCAAGATGGCAATATCGTTGTCACTCAGTAAACCCTTTCCCTCTGCCACATCTATTCTCTCGCCATCATCTTTTCCAAGCAAGCGTTGCAGCTCAGCAAAGTCTGCACCTGCACCCTCGCCTCGTCCGGAGCGAAACCTGCCTTTCTGAATTACCAGCTTTTCCAAACGACGCTTGCTGTCAGCCTTCTCGAGCAACATCTGCTCCACAGTACCTTTTGTGGCGAATCGATAGACAATGACAGGCCTTGTCTGTCCAATTCTGTGAGCGCGGTCTTGTGCTTGAAGGTCTTGTTGCGGGTTCCAGTCGCTGTCGAAGAGCAGCACCGTATCTGCCGATGCAAGATTTATGCCCTGGCCTCCGGCGCGAGTTGATAACAAGAAAATATTAGTATCACTCTTTGAGTCGTTGAAGTCTAATATCTGCTGCTGCCGATCGTTTTGTGCGACAGATCCGTCAATACGCGACACAGGCCAGTTTCGAAGCTCGCTACAGTACGTCTCCAGTAAGTCAAGTTGCGTTTTGAATTGGGAGAAAATGAGAACTTTATGGCCCTTGTCCAGCAGTTCTGGCAAAAGTCGATCGAGCAAGAGCATCTTCCCGGATTCGGTCACCAAAGTCTCGTCCACAGGGGTGCTGTCATCTAGATCAAAAGGGTAGTAGAAGTTGTGTGGAGAGTTGCAGCATTGGCGGAGCTGCATCACCGGGTTCTGGAGCTTCTTCTGCGAGATCTCACGCTTCGCCAAAGCCAATGTCTTTGCGCGTTCGGTATTCTCCTCTTCTTCCGAATCAGAATCATCTGCAGCTGGCGAAGACGGTGCTTCATCAAGCTGTTTGAAGTACTGAGCATCTGACACTTCCTCATACTTCTGATGTTTCTTAGCCTTTCTGGACCTCGCAACGGCACTGGCATTGGTGGCCGGTGTGGATGCACGACTTGACTTGGCAGACTTATTTGGCGTGGCAGTACCGCTCGCAGCCTTGCGCTTTAGACTCCCGCCTCTGGTGCTTGCGGGAGTGGAATCTCTACTCAGTGTTTCCACAACCTTGTTCTCAAGATACGCCCGACTGTTGCCTTCGAGGATCTCCTGGTAAAGCTCCCTTTGCGTCTGGGTCAAAGGAGCGTAAAGCACGTACTCTCGTTTCTTCGGCAAAGAAGTCTCGACGTCGGCCTTTACGCGACGCAGAAGAAATGGCTTCAAGATCGCGTGCAAGCTCGCAACCAATTTCTTTTGGCGATCGGCAGAGAGAATCTGTTCGTAGCCATTCTTCTCCTTCAAGGCGCTGAAGTCGAACCATGCCTCGAAAGATTCGAGCTTGTCGAAGATGCTAGGCATTAGGAAATGTAGTAACGACCACAGCTCCGTGAGATTGTTTTGAAGAGGTGTTCCTGTAATGAGCAGCCTGTTGGCAGACTGATATGATTGCAGCTCCCGGATGAGGCGGCAGTTCAGGTTCTTGATCCGATGACCCTCATCGATAATGATAAATTTCCAGCCGTAATGGGCCAAAAACTTTCGATCGTTCATGCATATTTCGTAACTTGTACAAATCACAGGAAAAGTCTCGCTGCCGGGGTTGCGTAGCTTTTTTCGACGAATCTCCTCACGCTCCTGCTTGCTACCATGATATAAGACGACTGGAATACTTGGCGTCCATTTCTTGAACTCGGCCACCCAATTGCTAGTCGTGCTCAGTGGTGCGGCGATCAGAAAAGGTCCATTGACGCCCTTCTCTCGAAGAAACGCAAGAAAAGAGATTGTCTGAATCGTCTTGCCCAAGCCCATCTCGTCGGCCAGAATTCCGTTCAAACCATTCTCATACAAGGAAGTAAGCCAGTCCAGTCCTTCCAGTTGATACGTACGCATCAAGCCTCCCGTGACGAGATCTGGCTGCTTTGCTGATCGCAATTCTTGGAAACCAATATCGCCTGGCTTGACATCTGCATCCTGGGTTTCTTCTGCTAATGCTTCGGAGATAGACGCCTGACCAGCCTTTGCAGCCACGTCATCTTTCTTCATGTAGTCCGATATTTTCCCACTCTTCGTGGTCTTTGCTGGTCGACCTCGTTTTGGAAGTTGTTTCTTAGGCGATTCATTCTCTTTTTCCCCCTCCGTTGCTGCTGCTGCTGTTCGCGTCGCTCGTTTCTGGCTTTCCTGTGCGACTTTTTCCGCGGTCTCCTCTCGCTTGAGCGCACGTTTCTTGCTTTTCTCTTCCTTCGCTTCATCTGCTTGTTCTTGCTTTGTCATCTGCTCAAGCATAATTGCCGAGTACAACTTGCTTTGACTAAGCAGATACTCCAGAGCCTTGTACTTGGAGTCAACGGCTTCCTTGCCGCCCTGGATGTCTTTTTCGCGTTCTGCTGCCAGCTTCTTTCCACGCTTCTCGTCCTCCCTGCGACGCGCTTCGACCATACGCGCCTCTTCCTTCTCCATTGCTTCTGTTGATCCGCCTACATCTCGAGTCTCTGGCGATGTGGGTGGCGTTGACTGGGCCGACTTTGCGGCTTCTGAAGACATGATCGTGACTGGTGTCTGATGCGACGTATTATGTAAGGAAATGAAAAGAAAACAAGCAGTTCAGCAGGACATCGTGAGAAGCAGACTGGAATTCAGCATTCGCATCCAGCATCGTCATCGAAGCATGCCGACAGGGGTACGCGATCGATCGCGACGCGAAAACACGCGAGCTATCCGTGATTGTCCCTAGATTTTAGCGTACCACTCCATGGGCTGGCGCCACCAAACCTTGCAGGCGTACGCCCGATGGTGGGTATAACCGATTCTGGGTAATTACGGCCTTGGCTGAGGTAACGATTGGGGTTAAGAAGGAGGGTGTTCTTAGCGCTACGGACTGCCTAATTAGTCGACTAAATAGACAGGGGTTAACTGCAATATTAATAAGTGTTGTATTACTAGCACTATAGGCCTATATATAGTCGCTACCGCTACCGCTATCGCTATCTCGCTGCCGCTATCGCTATCGTCCTATACTAGTCTCTTCTTACTGCCTTAATATTAATTAGAAGTCCTTCTCTTACCCTATATCTTACGTATAGCGTCGTCGTTATCTATCTAGTTAAATTAAGAGGCTACTAATGCCTCTAATCTAAGGTCTATAATACGTAACGGCCGCTAGGGCGTTACAAGGTCGATAACCGGTATATCGCCTATTAAATCTACCTCTTTAATAGAGCCTATATTAAGAGGCTAAGCCGACTATGTATTTAACTACATATCGCGGCTACGATTAACGCGCTTCTTTAAAGGTAATAGTCGGAAGGGTATTAACTAAGCGGGTAATAAAAATAAGGCCGCTAGAACGCGTAAAGGTAAGGCCGCTACGCGCCTATTCGGCACTATATTAGGCGCCGCTTAGAAGGTTATTAATCGAGTTAGAGTCGTCGGCTACGCTAGAAGATATAAAGTCTACTATCTCTGCCTCGGCCGTTTACCTATAAAAGTAACCTTAGGCGCGCCGCTCTCGTAGTAGTTAGTAATCGAGTAGTTAGCAAGGCTATATAGCGTATCCTTAACTTTACGAAGGAAGCCGCGCATATAGCCGTCTTGTACTACTAGATTAACTGTCTTATTATCGCGAATACGATAGAAGTGTTAAGAAAGGCCTTCGGCAGCCTCGTTATAGTGCGACCTTAAATTACGAAAATATAGGTCTCCTATAGTCTACGGCTTCCGCGTGTCTTCGTAGCCTTCTAGCTATAATTAATTACCGTCTTTGTCTATCTAGTATTATACAACCTTTATAGAATTGTAGCCTATATATAGGTTAATATACGCCTATTACTAATAAACCGTAAAGGGCGTAACAAATAGGTAGAACCTAAGTATATAATAGTAGGGGAGGTAGTATTAAAACTATAGAAGGCAATTATAATAGGCAGGTTATCTATTATTATATATTACTATTCTAGGGTGTATAGGCAGTCCTTTTGCCTTATATTTATCTATAATAGCTAGTTGCCTTCTAACATAATCCTATGCCGCTAGAGGCTATAGCTTCTCGAAGAGGGCTATCTGTTTAATCTTCTAGTACTACGTAGATTTGCCGACCCGTTTAAGCTATTATTGCGCCTTCTGCTATTAACGGCTGTTAATAGTAATTAGCGTTACTATAGTGCTATATATAGAAAGCTAGACGAGGTTCTTCTTATCGTTATATTTAATAGCGTTGTAATAGCCTTCTAGGGGCGAAGTCGTCTGTATTTATATTAGAAGTAAGTTACTTAGCCTCGCCTAGGTTGCCTATAAATAGGACTTCTTACGCTAGTTATTATTAAGGTATTTAATCTGCTTGTCTAACGCGCTAGAGGCCTATAGAGAGACTGCTATAGCGTCGATTGTATCTACAACCTCTTAATTACTACGAGCGTAATATATAGCGTAAGAAAACAGCCGCTACGCCTATAGATATTTGCTTTTAGAGAAGTGCCGTAGGAAGGTCTCCTTCGTATGCCTTTAACAGAGGTATATAGTAATCGAATAGTTATTAAATGCAAGCCTTACCGTACGCTATTCTTATATAGAGTCGTCTGTAATAGCGAATAGCGGGTTCTATATAGGTACCTACTTCTTAATAATTCGAAGCCCGGCTTTAATTAGCTTTATACGCTAAGACTATAGTAATAAGTATCTAGCCGGCATCTAGGACTTAAAAGCGTTACGGACGTGTATTATAAAGAGGTAGAAACGATAGTCGCTAGTACCGTATATCGCATTAAAGAGAAATAGCTAAGAAGGTAGTTATTAGCGGTTATTATAGAAATTTGAAGTTAGGAAGAAAGCCGGAAAGTTGATGCCTTAGGCATCTATAGTAAAACTATAGCAACTTACATCTCTAGCAATCTCGTATTTAAGCAGTATACGCTGCTATTCTGTATACTAAACGATTCCCTTATATATATGTCCGTCTATACGGACCGAGATAGCCTTATAAAGGATAGGTAAGTCGTATTAGTCGTCCTTAATTAAAGCTAGTTAACGGTTAAGGTTATTAAGCTATAGCTAGGGATTGCCCTTCTTAGCTAGGGTAACTCGTTTCGGATTAACTGTATGCGGCGCCCTTATAATACCTTTACTCGTACTATGCTTCGCGCCTATATTAGTAAGACGCTTCTTATTAGGCCCTTGCTATAGCATATAGATTACGGCTGCTATCTTGTTTTAGTGCTATTCTATTATATATTCGATAATAACCCGAAGCCTATTACTAATAGCTTTAGAGTCCTAAGGTATCAATTTAGCACCTTAACTGCTAACAACTAATAAGCAACTTAATCTACTATATTATTACTTACTATATAATCTATCGAATACTAGTAGATATTATCGCCTTCTACCGATAAGTCGGCGTATATACGATAAATCTTATAGCCGTACGGCTGTTTATCTATCGCGCGATTAAATAGCGCAACTATCGTAATCGACGCGTTATACGTATTCTTATTAAACTCGACTTTATAAT